GTCACTTGGAATGTAGGTATATAGATGAGAAAGATTGTTTGGGATATTCTGTATGAAATAAACACACACACACAAATCAATAAAAATGAGTTATATTTGAGGTAGAAGCATAAAACTTTGCTTCATGTGAATTAGTAGATGTGAAAAAAATTACCATTCAAATCTACCTGATGACTTTATTTCCAAGCTCAGATGCCAAGGAGCTCCAAAAGTAACTGACTGTCACTAGTTATAATCAGATATATAGAGATTAGAAATGCATGTGCAAACATCTTAATGTCAATTGCATTGAAAATGAATTTTTCTGTATGAAACTGTGTATTTTAATAATGAAATGGAGTTCTTTTTTAAAGTTTAAAACCTCATTTAATTTTATGTCTTATAGGGTTTATACTGAGTACAATATTGTATAACTATTAATTCAACTGTAAACCTAAAAATTTACAGCCAGTTTTGAAAGAGATGCATCTTAGCTTAGCTCAGAAAATTGTTACTGAATATGTCAATGCTGTTGTAATGAAATGCTTCTTCTAAGTTTGTGTTTATTAAATAAATAATTAACTGGGGGAAAAAAAGTATTTTGATCTAACATGTCAAGGTGCCTACATCAGTTTAAGTAGTTTTCACGTTTCAAGGTTTTGTTTCAAATCAGAAGAAATAAGACCACATTGCAGGTTGATTTTAATGAATGAAAAAAAATCTGTGTAACAAACATTTAAACTTTATCAAATGCTTCAAGAACACACATAAATTCAAATTTAATACAGAATCTTTTAACATTATCTTTGTTCATCTCAACAAAATCTAGATAAAACTTTATACAAGAAAGAAGATCCATGATGCTACGTGTTATGCATCTGTACACAGACAGACTCATTTGCAAGGAAAAACAAAAGATAGGACACTGGGAAAGGAAGGCTATCTTTTGTAAAGCTTACGTGGAAGAAGACTTCATGTGTAAAAGAACACCCTATGCCAAAACAAGGTGTGCAGAGGGAAAGTAGTGTTGGGACAACTCGCTTGTAAATGAACAGCTTGACAGTGTCATTCAAGAACAATAAATTTGGGAGTTACAGAAAATCCTTCCCCATCTCCAATTCTGTGACTGCGGTAGGTGATCCACTTAGGAAGCAGATATATTTTTGTTTTGTAGGTATTGTTCATCATTATTTAGGTATGGTTTCTTTCTTTCAGTGGATAATTCATCAGTTTCCCCAGAAAAGCCCCAGTAAGAAATGATGGTAGAATAGGCAACAACAGTAGCACTTGGTGGTATCAGATGGTGAATACAGGCCTGAACGCATCACTCCCTACAAGCTACATGGCCATCCCTGTAGTTAGGGATCTCTACATTATTTATTTCAAAAGAGGGCATCAGATCTCCTAGAACTATGATTACAGGCAGTTGTTAGCCACGAAGTGGGTGTTGGGAATCAAACCCAGGTCCCCTTCAAGAGCAGTCATTGCTCTTAAGCTGAGTGATCTCTCCAGCCCCTAGATGTTCACTTTCATATTAGAAAAAAATACACAGCCCCACATCACAAAATGGAACATCTTTCCATGAAACAGCACCCCATTCCCATCACCACCATGTCCTCCATACACGCTAAATGATGTAGAGTTCAACAGGAGCCAGAAACTAAAAAAACTGCTGAAGAACTCTGTATTGGGTAGCAATCTGTGGGTGCCATAGAGCTTGGTCAACACTGGAGACTGGGATTCTGCTTCAGGTCTGGACCTCCTACCTCCCCACCCTCAACAGTCAGATGAGTCAGGTTCCTGTAGATCTTCAGTCTCTACACATGCTCCCTTCAAAAGGGCAGCCTTCAAGAGGTAAAGGAAGCAGCAGCCACTGAATGTGGAAAGCCTCGCTCCTGCTCCTACTTCAGAATGATATGATAGCCATCACTGGTTTCTGCTGTAAAACAGAGGGGTGGGGGGAATCTTTAGTCACCTTTAAAACAGTGAGGGGAATAGAAAGTCCAAGCAGGAGACTGGTGACATGGTTCAGTGGGTAAAGGTACTTGCCACCAAGCCTGACTACCTGAGTTTGATCCTCAGAAGCCACATGGTAGGGGAGAACAGACTCCAACAAACTATGGTTTCGTGTGTGTGTGTGTGTGTGTGTGTGTGTGTGTGTGTGTGTGTAAACAAAAAAATAAATTTTTTTTAAATGTCAAAGCAAGCCAGGTGTGCTGGTACACACCTTTAGTCCCAGCACAGAGGCAGAGGCAGGCCAATCTCTGTGAGTTCGAGGCCAGCTTGGTCTACATAGTGAGTTCCAGGCCAGCTGGAGCTACAGGAAGACCTTGTCTCAAAAAGACCAAAAACATGATTGATGATAGATAGATGATGATAGATGACTGAGAGAGAGAGAGAGAGAGAGAAAATGTCAAAGCAACATACTTATTATTTAGCACAGAACATTTGTACAGACAGTTCCTAACTATGATCATTTGATTTATGATTTTTTGGTTTTGCAATCATATAAAAGCTATATGCGTTCAACAGAAACTGTATTTTCCTGGAAATAGAATGATGGTATCTTCTAATAATGGGCAGTGACAACAAACAATTCAGTCACACACAGATCACTAACACAAAGACACATATTCTACAATGTACCATGTTGACAACTAATGTTTGAAAGGTGAAGTATATAAAATGCTTCTTAAAATTTTTGTTTTTATGTGTATGAGTGTTTTGCCTGTATGTATGTATGTAAGGACACTTGTGTCATGTAATGCCTGCAGAAGCCAGAAGGCGGCGTTGGAACCCTTGGAACTGGAGTTACAACAGTTGTTAGCTGCTATGTGGGTGCCGGCAACTGAACCCAGGTCCTCTGCAAGAGTAGCCAATACTCTTTACCGCTGAGCCATCTCTCAGCCCCAAATGCTTAGGAAAGAAAAACATATTACATTTATCTATTTATTCTGTGGGGGGAGGGAGTGTGTGCCACAGCATGCACGCAGAGATCAGAGGAAAATCTGTGGGAATCTATTCTCTTTCTAGCATGTGGGTACTAGTGATGGAGCTCAGGTCATCAGACTTGGTAGCTAACACCCTTACTTACTGAGCCATCTTACTGGTTCTTAAATGTTTTTTGTTTATCTGTTTTTGGCTGGCCTCAAAATGACTAGTTGAAGCTGGCCTTGAACTCCTGATTCTGCTACCTCCACCTCCTAAATGCTGAGATTATGTGTTACTACATCTGGCTTTTAAATGCATTTTCCATTTTCAGTATTTTCACTGAAATCCTGATAAACTGATAACTGGGTTTATGTATTATAGAAACAACATGCCTTGATTTCTTCATTTGTCAAAGGAAGATGGAAGAGAATGGGAGTTGCCAGATGCATTTCACTCTGGTAATGGAAGAAGCCATCCACATCAAGGACAATTTCTAATACTGACACTTTATTTCACTTACTCTTCCCCATCCCTCTCTCTCCTGAAAGAAGTGAAACACACCCTGGGAGGGATGCCCATGCCTAGACTCCCAGCACTCACATGAGGTAGAGAGAGTGCTAGATCAAGAAGCCAGCACAAGCTTCAGAGAACTCCAGCTCAAAAACTGGTAAACTATAAGAAGAGCTTTTAGTCGTTTTGGAACTGAGGATCAAATCCAGGGCCTTGTGTACGCTAAGCATACATTTTACCCCTGAGCTAAATCCCCACCCTATAAAAAGCTTTAGAAGTTCATGCACAAGGGGTTAGAGAGTTAGTTCAGCTGGTAAAATGCTTTTCTTGATCCCCAGAACCAATATGGAAAATGCTTATGCAGAGATGGTACACACTTATGATCACAGTGCTAGGGAGGCAGAAACAGGCAGAGAGAACCTGAGGCTGTCTGGCTGGCCAGCCTGCTTTCTCGGCAAGTTCCAGATCAGTGAGAGATGCTTTCTTTAAAAATGAATGAATGAATGAATGAATGAATGACTGTGCCTGAGGAATAACAGAGGAGGCTGTCTTCTCACCTCTCCATGCACAGATGCAAACACACCTACAAACACAAAACTCCTTAGAAAAGGGTAATTTAGGGCTGGTAAGATGGCGCAGAGGGCATGTATTGCCAAACTGGATGACCTGAGTTTGATTCCAGAACCCATATAGTTGAAGGGGCAAAGAAATCCCCACAAATTGACTTTTGACCTTCACATGTGTGCTATGGCTTGTCCATGTCCACACTCACAAACATAATAAGTAAATGTAAAAAGAAAGACATTTAACTATTTTATTACCTTTCATTGTGTCCAGAATAAAACAGGCTTCTTCCTGAAAGTTCTGTATCATCTGAAAAATACAAGTTGCTGCCTATTAACAACTTTGGTTTGCTGCATTTGTTTTGAATATGAGGCTTTTTATATAAAACATTAGATTTAGGAGTTAAATAACCTATTTCTTTGGAATAGCTTAAGTATTTTATATGTTTGCAACTAAGCTTCTTAAAACTATATAAAACAAGATGAGCTCTTCCTCATCTAGCAGCAATCAGTTGCCAATATTCCTTTAGGTAAGATTGGGGTCCACTGTTCATTTTCCCAGTTCTATGCTGGGTTACTATCTGGGTGTCTCTTGGGCCACCCTGGCCAACAACTCAAAGGAAGGTAACGCCTCCTGTCTAGCATTGTTTCTTGTCATGTAGCCTTTGGCTATACACATGGACTCTTAAAGAATTATATTGACCCCTTTAATCTTTGGTTATACTTTCCTTTTGGGTGTTTAAGACCATATAGTCGGCCCAAATTAACCAATTTATT